CAGGCTTACTCTGCTCACCTCTCTAGCCTCAACAGCACAAAGTCTGCTTCGACTATCAAGGCACCCCAGAAATAGCGGGTCACAAGAGAGTGACAAACATACAAAAGAAGTAGAGGAAAATGACAATAGTAAGGATTAGGAAAGAAAAAGCAGCAGTTCCCTGTTGTAGATCAGGCACAGTTAGTTATGAGCATGACATTGATGAATCAGCCCATTTACAATTCTACTGTGCATAAGAACTCGAGATGTTAATATCCCCTCCCTCCCCCCTCCTTTGGGAATTGTCTAAAGACACTTCAGTCAGTAGCACCGCCCCGGGGGTAGTGGGGAGAGGTGAGATGTCACATTATGAGATGAGATAAATAATACATAATAATAATAAATAGCTTTTATGCTGCGTATTTCCATTTTCTAAATAATGCTCAATGCGCATTACATCACATCTTAAAAACTAATCGACATGCAGGCATAAGATAAGATTAAATAATATGATGTACGATGATGATGATGATGATGATGATGATGATGATGATGATGATGATGATGATGATGATGATGATGATGATGATGATGATGATGATAACGATGGATAATGATAATCATTTATTTCCATTTCATTGATAACATTTTTCGTAAACATTTTCATTAAAATCTTGTTAAATTTTCGTTGAATTTTCCTCGGGTTTTCCCCCCACATCTCTGAACCATACACGAGTACAGCCAAAACATTGCTATTAGAATATTCAGATAAGTTAGTCTTCAGTGAAATGATATTTGAATTCCAGAGTTTTAGTTTCACAAAAGCGACCTATGCATTTTAAAGTCTCTGATGGACGTCGTCAAGGCAGTCTCCAGTTTTGTAGGTAGTGCTGATAAGGTATTAGAATTTGTTAATGTCTTATTTTAGTAGAGGTTTTACGGCGCTCGCAACTGCATAAGGTCATATGAGCGCCAGAAGATTAGAGGTGTTACCAGAGAGTAACAAACATAGAAAAGGAGGGTAGATAAGGATGATAGATGTTTGACAGGAAAGAAGAAACAAACCACACAAGAGCACCTGCCAACCACTCACTGTTAATGTCTGCTCGAGGTTCTCCGTTTAGTTTTAGTAATTTTTTTTACGGCACTTGCAACACAATAAGGTCATAATACAAGTGCCGAAGATTAGAGGTATTACGAGAGAGTGACAAACATAAAAAGAAGGAGGAGAGATAAGGACGATAGATGTTCGATGGGAAAGAAGAAGCAAACCACATCAGAGCACCCGCCAACCACTAACCGAGGTTCTCCAAAAAGACTGATGAAAGTAATTTCTGGTGATAATCGCAGCACTTCTGTTGTGGAAAAATTAATTGCAAGGCAAACTACCTCTGCACATCCTGCTAATACATTAGGTTTTAATGGGTTTTTAACATGGTCTCTAAATCTAAACAAGGCACTAGAAAGAAAAAATCAATGCACGCGAAACGAGGTGTCTCCGCAAAACCATCAACGTCACCAGAAGAGACCGCATAAGAAACGAAGCCATACGTCTACAAACGGGAATACCAGCAGTAATAAAATTCATAGAGCGTCAAAGAGTCAAATAGTTCGGACATCTAACCAGAATGCCCCAGAAACAACTAGCGGCTAGAGCTTACAACATCCGAGAATACGGCTGTAAATCAAGAAGAAGACCAAGAAAGACCTGGCTGGATGGGATTAAAAAGGTCCTGGAACAACATAACATATCTATCACAGACGCTACACACCT